GAAAGGGAAAAGCTTGCAGTTTATTACGCCGCAAAAAAATTGAGAATATCCTTCTTACTTTCCGAGTTATAAGCCATTATATGAAAAGTGGTGCGATTTCGGCAACCTTACCCTAAGTTTGTGACTGAATGTGTACTAACAGTGCACGTATGGAACCATATAGGGTAAGGTTGCCGATATCGCACCGGCTCCTAGATCGCACTACCTCGCCTAAAAAATCAGTTATTTTATTCACACACTTTCTTACGGATTATTTACAAACTACAAGGTATTTCAACGCTGCTGCGTTACATTTGTGACATGAAATGCAGTAGGAGTCTCGTTATTTATGTAAATAAAAAAATCGTGATAGCGTTGCTGTTTTTCAACATATTTCATAGCAGAAATATAAAAAATGTAAGTTAAATAATCTACTTTTCTACAATTTGTCGTGTTTGGAACACTATTAGAATTAGATTAATTGAATTAAAATTTTTTTAACAATCTTGTTTGTAAATTAAATAAATAAAGTTTTACAAAATGCTACTGTTTCCTAAATCGCACCACAATGTAGTGGCCTAAATCGCACCGTGCATATGGCAACACGAGACGTACACATAACCACAATGCATGTCGGTGCGACATAACCATAACCTCTACAATAAGCATGTACGTTTGGCGGACCAAAGATCTTTGAAATCATTTCTTTCAGGTGAGTGAGGTTCACAGATAATTTCTATATATATTTTACTTATATTTTTTACACTTTATTTCTTTTTTTATTATGTAAAAATATATATTATAAATGTATATTGTAATAGAAGTGCGATTTCAACAACCTATGGTGCGATTTAGGCAACGTATTTCCAAAATCGCACTATTTACAAGTATGTAAAAAATCTTCATTTAAAATATTATAATAATAGAAAAAAAATCTGAAAAAATTACATATGAAAGGGAAAAGCTTGCAGTTTATTACGCCGCAAAAAAATTGAGAATATCCTTCTTACTTTCCGAGTTATAAGCCATTATATGAAAAGTGGTGCGATTTCGGCAACCTTACCCTATATATAATTGTAGACATTGTTTTGCTCTGTAAGCAGAGGTTGGATTTTGAAAAATATAATCACACCAAATTTTAATTTTTAGTGAAAAATACGTTTGAAATTATGTTATATTTATTTATTAGTGGAGGTGCAGCAGAAGGAGGAAGAGCAAAGTCTCCTTTTCCCCACACATAGGCTAAAGAAATGGGACTTAACTGCGAGAAGATTTTCGTATCGTGGGACTTATCCGCGAGAAGATTTGCGTACTGATTCTGGTTGAGACAAGCAGGTCGATATCGCATTTCGTTCCGTCGCGTGTCGCGCGTATTGTTGCTTGCTCTCCATTTCTCACATTCAAGTACTCGAAAGATTTAAATATAAAACAACTTGTGAGACACATATATTGTGATCATTTCATAATTATATTTGATTTAAAAATCCTGTGACCATCCTTGGAGATCCAGCCGCCTTTCCTGGCAATAAAGCTATTCTTTCTCTCTCTCTCTCTCTCTCTCTCTCTCTCTCTCTCTCTCTCTCTCTCTCTCAAAGAGAATAGTCATTCTCACAAAGAAATATCCTACACTATTACAATAGTAATTGTATACAATAGTAATTATATAATATAATGCAGCATAACGCATACGAGAAGTCACCAATCAGAATCTTTTATTTTTTATTCTGAAAACGCAAAAGTCTATACTGCGACCTTCATTGATGCCATTTAGCAAATATAGAATTCTGAAGTGTAATGACAAACAATGTGCATTGAAAATCATATTATAAAAAATGCTGACTGCGCTCAAGTTATTCGTATATAGAGTATTGTCGCCACTTTCATTTTCGTCACCACTTTCATTTACGCTTTTGTGTTCAATTTTGCAACCGTTTTATGATTGCTGAGATAGGATCATTCTTCTAGATTTAAAAGTATAATCCAATCAGCTCGAAGTGAACTTATAACAGTTGCAAAATAAACGTTTTGTTGAACGCTGCCATTGTTTTCTTTTTGTATTAAGTCTCTTTCTTCAAAATTGCAATCCCAGGATTTTATTCGCAAGATCATAACGATGAAAATAAAAGCGATGACGAAATTCTACAGCAGCTTGAGCGCAGTCATTATTTTTATGTTGTAATTTTACAGCAAATTCACATTGTTCACCACTTCAATGTATCAAATTTATTAAATGATATCAACAAGAATAATGTGAATGTGATATTTACACTAATTGTAAGTAAAATTCAAATAGTGGAGTTAGACATCTTTATATTATCAACTTTTTTATTAATAACTTTTTTTGATAAACAACTTGACAATGAAAATCTTTTGAATGATGGTGTTCGAGATTATGATTTTGACAACATATGTTAAGGTGATTGGTTCGAAATATCCTAAACAAGAGTTTTATCTAAATTTTATATAACAGTTAAAATTATTATGCTCTTAGGTCCATTCGTACCTAGCAATTTTAAATATTCCACAAATATGCTCAATATACGTAATGAGCATTGTACCTATTCCCAACGTTATAATCGATCCAATACATAACACTGTGTACATATATAACAGAATCCAATAGAAATACTTTTCTTGATCAACAAGATACTCTGTCATAATGAATAAATGATGTGATTGAGATGTGTTCATTGTATTAACATCAGCTATAAACGACCAAATTTGAGCTATTATAAGACTGAACGTCCCACAAATCCCTAATACTAAAAAGAAGCAAAAAGAATTTGTTATTTAAATATTTAGTATCTAAAATTGTTTTATATATACTGTACGCATGTATTACCAAATAATTCTTATCTTGGATTTTACAGCAAAAATGATAGCTGTGTTATTTTACGTATACGCTATATTATAAAACATTTTTCAATAGTATAAGATTTTATTGTAAAGTTACTAACTATTTTAAATTTTATTTAATTTATTAAACACATTGGCCATTCCTTGGCAAATGCACATACATGTTCTCTAAATTTCCCGGAGTGAAATCTCACTCCAATGGATTTAGAGAGTGACAAATGCTTTAACAGATTTATATAATAAATCATATGTAAGTAAATGGTTGGATCAAAGGCTAAATGTTCAAAAATGGTGCTCCACTAAAAATCACGGTTTTTTCTCAGTTATGAATAAAGCTGTTTATAAAAAAATACAATTAAAGTATATACAATGTTTTAAGAGGAGGCTTATGATTTTTGTGGGAAAAAATTCTATTTCAAATTCAATGAACAAAAATCTATTAGCGACTATACACTTCAATGTTTATTAATATAAAGATCCTTCTAGTGATCCTACGGAAACAAGATCCATCTTATTCCCTCTTCCCCCATGTCAAGGCGCACGACTTTCATAAAACTTATACACTGAAAGACAAGATTGGTTGCTACAGCAAATTAGATGGTCAAATATGGCATAGCATTTTTAATTGGCAGCAGCAACCAATTTTTGTGGCCGCTGCAATTAATTAAAAATGCTATACCATATTTAATCATCTAATTTACTGCAGTAGTCAATCTTTACTTAGTAATGAAAGGGGAATAATCTATTCAACCAATGAGTGGAAAGTGTGAGCAAGATCTGAGAGACAAAAGATGTATTTCTGTCCTACTCAGTAACTTTTCTTCTTTCTGCGCATGTGCAAAAAAAGGATAGAAGAGGATAGAAAAATATTTCTGTTCTGCTTAGTAACTTTTCTTCTTTCTGTGCATGCGTGCCAAAAGAGGGTAGAAGAGAATAGAAAGATATTTCTGTCCTTTAGATTTTGCTCACAGCTCGACGTCCGTATTTCCCTTCCATTACTATAAATTCTATGATGACTTTCCACGCGAAACGAGTTCCACCCCTTACCCTGTGGCGTGACTTTTCACTCAGATAAATTTCGCTTTGCATGGAAAATTGAATGCCCCTTAACAGAAGGAAAAGTCAAGTGTACATACATTTTTTTATTTTTGCAAACGTTTTACTGCGATCTCATGTCTAATATAGATAATGTAAGAGACAAAGAAACTTTACATCAACATTTCAATAAAAAACAAAACTGTCTTATTCGTTTGTGAAATAGAATTTTTCCCACAGAAACCACAAACCTCCTCTTAAAACATGGTACACATGTCTTTTTATAACTAGTTTTGTTAATTACTGAAAAAAAACACGATATTTGAGAAAGCACCCTGATGAAAATAAAAATCGGAGCGTAAGTCGAATGTAATGGGAGAGTAACAGAAGCGTAAACGAAACTTCTAGAAGGCGAAAATTGAAACAACAAATTGTAAAAGAAGCGTAAATGCTTCTTTTACATTTTGTTGTTCCAATTTTCGTTTTCTAGAAGTTTCATCTATGCTTCTGTTACTCTCCTATTACATCCAATTTACACTCCGATTTTTATTTTCATCAGGGCATCATTCTGAATATTTACCAACTGAAAATATTATTACAAAATTAATAAATATTATCTTACCCGTAAGCGTAACCGTGTAACGTTTAGCAGTATAACCATATTTGTATATAATTGCAATTTCGTTTTTATCCTTTAACTTACTGAGTATATATCGAAGCTCCATGAATAAATTCTTCACCTATCATGTTATTAATTTTCTACACTGTCTTTGAATATATCAAAAACACTTTGTGCAATAAAAATTTGTTGATATACAAATTATTTCTATTTAACGGATACTTGGTAAGTTATGAACTTACAATTTCAATGTTAAGATGGAATGCGTTATATTTTATCATGCACAATATGAAGAAAGATACGGAAGACAGCACCTTTATTACAAGGTCTAAAGTACATTTTAATATTATTATTGGTATCAACTGTAAAAAGTTAGTTTTCACATTTTCATATATAAATATGATTTTTTTAAATGCACTATATATTATTTCTTAAAAACGGCATGTATTAATAATAAAAGGTTGTCAATAACTTATATTATATAATAATTTTATATTGTTTCTTGCCTGAAATATAATACTTGCTGACAAAAGAGTACAAAAGAAAATAAACTGAAGTTGAGTAAATTTGGATTGTTGATAAGGCCATAAACCGACAGCAAGCAATAGAATTTTATTGAGATTATTATGAGTCTCTGGATGTATCATTTTCTCTTCGAGCAGTAAAGTATTACTGTGAAGACTGAAAACATCATTGATAGTATACTAATACCATTTTTTCACTGTTTGACTGAATATTTCACATTTTCTTGTCTTTTGATGTAATTTTTAAATTTCATAATTTATTACGATTAGTTGCGTAAAGGTTTGCTGTGTAAGATCTAACGGCTCTGAATTTAACTTTCTGAGCAAATTACGAATATTTATCTTATTGATTTGATATTACCGGTAATTCGACGGATGTTAGTTTCTCATGAAAATAAGTTATTGGCCACGCAGGCGCATTTTCTCTTTCTCAGCGCCAGGACCTCATTCTAGTTTACGTACTCGTTCAGTACACTTCAAAAGAATATCCTTTTTTCTTTAATTTTTTTCGATATCCTAATTTATCTGGTGAAGTTCATAATTTGAAAATGTTAGCATTAATACATAACGTTATTACATTTTAAGACTACATTGGACGAAATTAGTATTTTCATCAAGCAAGTGTCGAATACTGATTTGTAAGTTTGTTGTCTATAATTAAACTATTCACTGTATAATACTCTTTCCTTTTTAGTGCTTAATTTTTTAGTTTTCTAGTAGTAATGAAATTTTTTAACTCATGTACAAAATTATTTATATTGATATAAATATAATTAATTAAGTGTAATAATTTTTATACGTTGATAATAAATTCAGCACGCAAAAGATTTTATTTACCGATAATATAAAGTATATGAACATTCGCTATTTGAAAATATTTATTGCTTGCTATCAAGACGAAGCAAAATACATTTTGATATACTTATTTCCATAGTAAAATTTTCCAGTAATTATATGATTAAAAAAAAATTGTAATTTTGTTATAATTTAGTTTTGTACAGAACTCAAGAATTGTACTGTAAAATAATATATGTCTTAAATATAAATAACAGCACATGTCATAGAACTACAATTTTTAATTAAATATTTATTTGCTGTTTTTTCCAGAAAATATTTCCTGTTACATTGTTGTTATTTTTAATCATATTTTTTATCTTAGAATATAATTTACTTAATTTTAATAATAATTATTTATCAAATTACTATTTATTTGTAAAATGTGTGAAAGTACGTAACAATATACTTAAGATAACATGTGTATTTACTTAAAATTAAATGGTTTTACTTAAATAGGACAAACAAATACTTGCACCCAAAAATGTGGTTTTAAGAAAATGTGTTTTCTTTATTTAAAATAATTTTTATCTTAATATACATCTATATATATGTATTTACAAAATAAATTTGTCCCTTTTTTAAGTGTGAAAACATAATTCCTTCATTATCTGCATCTCTACTATGATAGTATTATATTAAATTAATATTTGTTTTGTTACTACACGGAATACATGATTCGTTACTTTTTCAAGTAACGGTATCGATAACGTGTTACATTTTAAAATAAACAACTAATAAACAACGGTAACGAATTATTTTTAACAAAAATAACTGTAATGTTAAGGTATTATTTTTTGAAGATAACGTTTTCAACTCTGATTATATTATAATATCATAAACCAATCAGAGTCGTGTCAGCGTCTTAATATGTTACTTAAAATGATTTTGAAATAAGAACGAATTATAAATATTGGCCTTTATCTGCATTAAGAGATTTATTACTCTTTCTTAATGATGATTGGTACTTTTGCTTTAACCTTTCTGCCAATGCATAACTTTTCACCTTTTTATTACCGTGTTTTACAAGATTTTCGCTAAAAATGTAAAAGCAAAAATTTATATATGTATAAAATCTAAAATTTTTTATTATTTAAAACTTAATATATGAGTACTTGTGTTCTCATGCATTAACGTAAAGGTTAATTGCTTTGTACAATGAGAGTCACTATCATTGCGAAAATGTTGATAACTATTAAACAGGTTATTCCGTCAATACATAAATATCAAAATAAAATCCATTAGAAGATAATAAATGAGATTTTATGAAAAAATGTTTTTTTAATTTTTTAATGGTATACAATACAATTTGTACATATACATGATACTAAATTTCTTCCGGTGTTTGTTATAAAAACATTTATTTGTTACGAATCTTAATTGCAATTAAGGAAAAGTATATAATTTATAATATGCAATTTTATACATTTTTTTTAAAACGAAAAAATATTATTTTGTTTAATCGTTTTATCTTATTTCTGCTATATACAATATTAAAAACTATTCTACCCTTTCTTGCTTATGTAATAACTTTTCATGCGAAGGGAGTTTCATCCCATTTCCCCCCTGTCAAGGGGCATTCGACTTTCCACGCGAAGCGACATTCAGTTCACTTGCTCCCTTGCTAAGGTGCATACGACTTTTTATCCCTTGTCAGGAGGGGAGGTGAGGTGAAAATTGCTTCGCGTGAAAAGTTATATTTCTTAAATTCCACCTTATACTTTTCTCCCTATCTAAAATTATCTGACTCTTCATGCAAAGCAGGGAAATAAGTACTAACTTTGACTGTTAATAACTTTTTAATGAATAATAATGATTGACGGCTGAAATCTATTGGAGGTCAGTCAGAGTCATGACCTTGACAACATACGTCAAGGTCTAGGTCACTGGAGCTGGGTTCTCTAATCGGTACTTTTACCAAATATAGTTTTGTATTCATCATTTACATATTATTTAGTGTTTAAGATTTATATGTACCTAGTATTGATTTGTTGCTTTTAGACATAAACATATATTTGTAAAAATTATTATACTGCAGTATTAGTAATAAATAACAATTTCAATGCAATCTTTATATATTATTACATAAAACCATAAACTTACTTGATACAAATTAAAACTAGGTACAACAAACTATTACACATTCCATGAAACAAGATATCATTATTTCGAATGTAGTCATGAAATGTTTCGTCATTCTTAAAAATAAAAAAATTAGTGAATATTAGTAAATGTATCGCACGATGTAAGAAACACAGATACGTACTTCACATCTTGATGATGAATGTCTACGGCAAAAATTATACCTTCGATCATCAAAATTTTATTTTTTAGTATAACATTTCGTGGAATATCATTGTTTACTGCGTGCTTAATGCGATAGCTGCAAATATATTTTTTTATTTATTAATTATTAATTTTATATGACAGTTAAAATTATTATGCTCTTATATCTACGTTCATACCTAGTAATTTTTAATATTCCACAAATATGCTTAATATATGTAATGAGCAATGTACCTATTCCTAATATTATAATCGACCCAATACATAATACTGTGTACATATGTAACAGTATCCAATAGAAATACTTTTTTTGATCAACAAGGTACTCTATCATAATGAGTAAATGATGTGATTGAGACGTGTTCGTTGTATTGACATCAACTATATATATGACCAAATTTGAGCTATTATAACAATGAAAATTTTCCAAATTCCAAATACTAAAAAGAAGTAAAAAGTATTTGTTATTTAAATTCTTAGTATCTAAAATTGTTTTATGTATGCTGTACGCATGTATTATGAAATAATTTTTATTTCGAATTTTTCTATAAAATGGATAGCTATATTACTTTATGTGTACGCTGTATTATAAAACATTGGTAATTATTGCGAAATGAATCTCGATTTGTGTTGTAAAGTGTGTATGAATAACACACAGTATAAAAAACTGAATATAGGAGAGGAAGTAGTTTATGGGTGTACGACTTCCATGCGACTCAAAAATTTCACGATGTGCATATATGCAGTATGAAAACAGTATCACTATTTTAATTTAAATGACTTCAATCTTACTTTATAACACAGGGAAATATCTATCTGTACTCTATGTTGAAAAAATGAATCTATTATTTTTGAAGCACAATTCTCACCTTTTTTTAACTATATTTTTACTATGACAGTAATAAATTAATAAATATTTATTTTGTCATCGTGTAGAATACATGACTGTAAAATAAGATATGGAGGCCTTTATTAGCTGCAATTATAAAAATATACTTTTTTATTATATCAGTATAAGTGAACATTAAAATATCCCCCAAAATATTACCGTTGCAAAACCCTCTATGGATGCATCATATATTCCACCAATATTTAATGAAAATTCCTTGACTCTTCTTTGCAGTAAAAATAGTATCATTCTTTGTATATGTAATGGGGTTTTATACCACTGAACGTTGTACCTACAGGATTGAATATAGACATAGCAGATCGCTTACTGAAGATAGGAATTCTTAATTAATTAATATTGGCATATATTCTAATTTAAATGCAACAGATAAATTTCTATTTGTATTGTTGTAACAAATGCAAAAAGCAACAATATCACATACTACCATAGAAAAATGTGCTCTTACGCAGTAACAAATACTTGATTATTGTGGTCCGTTATATTCTGTCCGACATAGTTGCCTATAAACATGTATAAGATGCATACAGACGCAACTATAAACGATAATAAAAATTCGCTGACATTTGTTTTATCGTTTTCAGATGCTATCTGGAAAAGCTAAGAAACAAAATTTACAGAGTAAATATCAATCTTCTACATATATATCTATGTTTTAACTATCAAACGTGCAAGTTTTACTCAATACTACAACTAAGATTTTTTTACAGTCCGATTGCTTATATGTACTTTTGCGCACAAGTAAAAATTTCATAAACGAAGTCACATTTACCCACATATATTAATGCCTACATGAATTATTATCTACAGTTCGATTGCCTACAAGTACTTTTGCGCACAAATATAAAATTAATGTTAAATTACGTAAGAAAGTAATTTGTATTTTTAAAGCAGAGAATAGTACATGTAGGCAATCAAGCTGTAGGCAGTAATACACGTAAGCAATCGAGCTATAGACAAAAATATATGTGGGCAAATGTGACTTTATTCTTGAAATTTTTATTAGTCCGCAAAAATGTATGTTATTGGCAATCGAGCTGTAGATAATAATTTTTGTGCGCAAACACATTGTCGGCAAATGTGATGTGGACAATCGATTTGTGATGTTCTTTATAATGACAATAAACGTTTTACAAATTTGCATTAATGATATGTACCTACAATGTTACTACGTTTCGTAATCGAATATATTTGCATGATTATGTTTTACGTTATTTTTTTTGTTTTTATAATACACTGAGAGAAATGTTTTGTACCAATAATCAAAGTTTTGTTACTGACACAAAAACTATTTATTGATATATAATCAATTAAACCGTTGATTACCACGACAGTATTAATTTGTTGAATTTATTAACTAAACTGATCATTTAATGGTATAAAACTGTTTTGTATGATGTTTATAGATCTTTTGTAATTAGAAATAGAACATTTTGTTACTGGAACAAAATTAATAATATATAAGTATCTCTCACTTTCTACAGAGTGATTATGTTTGACGTTTTTGAATTTCCTTAGCTTAGCAAAAATATATATAGATTTAGAGCAATTGAAACTACTAATCGCTCTGAAAAATAGTTACCATGATTGATCATGGTGTGGTGAGAACCGATAAGTCCACGGGATTAGTCTCTAATGGTCTCGGCTTTATAGAGATAGATATTGAATTTCTCTTACGAGAAGACACGCCATCTCTGATAACTCCGCGAAACACTCCTTGCTCTACCATAG